GGCTCTTCACCTGGCATTCCGTGTATTTCTCTAAGCGCAAGTTTCCCTCTCCTTGTAGGGATACCAGTCATTGGATTAGGGCCCATCCTAATCCAGGATGACTTCATCTTAACTAGTTATACCTACACAGACCCTATTTCCAAATAAGACCACATTTTTAGGTTCTGATAGACGTAAATTTTGGGAGGGACACAATTCAACAAGAAAACCATCCCTATACATTCTTTTTGTGCATGCATGGGAGTATATTTACTGGATAAATTCCTACTAGGCCATCTGGTGGATCAAAGAGCAGGTGTTATTACTAAATTTGACTGGTTTTATGAAATTGCTCTCCACTTGTTTCAAGCAGGCCTGTAAAACATTCCTTTCCTGTATTCTTAGCAGCCAACTATGTTTTCCAACTTCTTCATTTGTGCCAATCTGACAGGCAAAACCAGTATTACATTTCAACCTTTTTGGTAGTAAATACCAAAAAAATTACTCAAATCCTCTAGATCAGAAATTCCATATCTAGGAATCTATCTCAAGGAAATAAATGATGGTGGGCAAGTTGTTCATTATTTCTAATCTTAAAAAACTGAAGCAACCTAAAGATATTTAATTATAGCACATTCATAGGATGAAATCTTTTGTAGCCATTAAAAATCATGTTGTAGGGATGCCTGGGTGATGCAGTCGGTTAAGCTTCCAACTCTTGGTTTCAGCTCGGGTCTTGATCTCAGGGTCATGAAATCAAGCTCCATGTTGAGTTCCACACTTAATGCAGAGCCTGCTTGAGACTTTCTCTCCTTCCTTCCCACCCCCACCACACCCCTACCCGCTCTCTCAAATAAGTAAATAAATAAGTCTTTTAAAAAAAATCATGTTGTAAATTTAAGTTTTGCTAAAATGTTTGGTGGTATGGTGTTTTGGTGGTATATTCACTTTCTTTACATGTCTTGTCTCAAATCATTTACAAATTAGTATGCATTAAGTTAATTTTGCATTTGAATTTTTAACTAAAAAACAAATGTAGAAAAACATGGATGAAAAACTAACAGCTTCCTCTCAGGAACAACCCCTTCTTCAGTAAGTCACTTCCCTTCCCAAAGGTAACTACTGCCAACAGTTTGGTGAACACACTCAGATCTTTTAGTAAAATGTATTTCATGTATTGCTTTTTTACTTTCTTACCCCCCAAAACATTCAAACACTACAAAATATGTGAAGTTAAAAATGAAACCTCCCCTTCTCTCGTTGGCCCTAAATCTTCCTGCCTTTCTCCAATATAATCCATACTAACGGATATGTCTCCTCTTGAGACTTTTTAATTTCTACAATACTCTTTTAATATTTGGAAATGAAACAAAAAAATTAAAGCTACTTTATTAACAAGGGCAAGTATTTACAATTATTTTCTTTGTAGTATTGCATATGAAAATTTCCAAACACACATGAAAATAGAGAGGACACCTGATGAGCTCGATTATGCATATTGTTAAGATCTGACAGCCATTAATATTCATCCATATTTGCTTCAGCTGTGTTTCCTGTGCTGCGGTATTTTCAAGCAAGCCCTATGCTTTATGATATTTCATCCCCAGATATTTCATTAAGAGTCTCAACTACTTGAGTCCATTTTCTTAGATAACTCCAATCCTGTCATTACACTAAGATTAACAATCATCATGTAGTATCACCCAGTGCCCAGACAAGACAAATGTGATTTCTCAATTGTCCCCTTGTTTTTTACAGCTGGTTTTTGTAATCGTTTCTGCAAAAGCTCCATCTGTATTTTTCCTCTCCATTTCAAGTCCGAATCATCATGAGTGATCAGTAAATCTCTTAAATAACCCAACTAACATCTTGATAAAAATTTCTGAGAAATCCATATTACAAAACAGTCTGTACAGCATGAGTCCTTTTTAACATTTTATTTTGAAATAATTTCAGATGTGCATAAAAGTGGTAGAAAAAGGCCACAGTGCTCCTATTTGCCTTTGTATTAGATTTCTCATTTGTGAGCATTTCTGTACCATATATTGCAGGCTTCATGGCCCATTATTCCTTAATATTCCAGTGTATATTTCTTAAATAAAAGAGGACTCTGCCAGGTAACCACAGTATAACCATCAAAACTGGGATGTTAATATTGATCAGTATTAATATATGATCCTTGGATGCCATTCAAAATTTCCCCCTTTCTCTATTTTAAAATCATATAGCACTACATTTTCCTGAAAGAAACATAAAACAAAACAAAAAAAAAATCACAAAAATGCCTCCACCTTTGCACACTCCTAAAAACCTAAGTCCCTTGTTGAGAGTCATTAGTTAGGCCTATAGCCTTCAGACACTGTGCAATATGCCTAGGGCTCTAGTTGACACTGCCCCTCTTTTTATTTTTTTTTAAATCCCAACTTGCTTTTCTCTCATAAAAGTATGATCACCTTTGAAGCTCATTCTGTCAATAAACCATAATCTTACTTTTAAAAATTAATTTTTAATTATCTTATTGTTTTCTTACTGCTTAAAAAAATGTCCACCACACAGGCGTTCCACAATAGGCATGGACATATCTAAATCTAGACATTTCCCTGATTGCTCCTCGCGTTTTGCTTCCATCAACAACACTCCAATGATCCTTCATGGTCCACACATCTGCACATTTTATGATTACCAAGCATGGTGACTAAAGATATGGAATAGCATTTTAGTTGCTAAAAATATTCCGCCAAACTGCTTCTAGCAAAGCCTTTACTGGTCAGTTCTGAGTGAGGCAAAAGAGAGCCTGTTTCCCCACAGAGTAATCAGAACTAGATTTATCCCTCTTTTTAAAGCCATTTTCAATGGGCTAGAAATGATACTTAACATGTTCAATTTTCTCCTTTGCTGGTGAAGTTCATCAGAACTTCAATTTTGACTAATTTGAAAGCTTGATACGAAAATAGTTTTTAGCACAGCTGCTACTATTTTAAGTGCTATAGTAAGTGCTTAATAAATGAGATCTATTTGCATCTGTCTACCTTCTGACTGTCCTTTGTTGAAGGCCCTTGATGTATAGCCCTAACCTAAGAGAGCTCTTCCAGTTAGTTACTATTTATACAATAAAAAAAAAAAAAAAAATTTACTGAGCACCTACTATATGCCAAGCAGGCATTGTTTTAGGTGCTGGAGAATAACAATAAACCAGTGAACAATCATAATTATTGTTGATGTCTGCATAGATAGATCTGGAAAGATGCAGTCCAAATGTTATTATTAATACAGTGGTTTAAAGAGTGTGCAGGAAGGGGAACAAAGATAGATCAAAGGAGGGCAGAAAGTCCAGAGCTGTTGAAACAAGAGCGGGGGTACATGGGCCTTCACCATATTATTTGCTGTACTTTGGTACATTCCAAAAATGTCTACAATTAAAAAAAAAAAAGTTAGTGGCATAGCGGTGGATCACAGAATTGGGAGGGTTTCTTCTTCCGGCTACGCGGTAATTTCTAATTATCCTTAGAGCAATTCCCTCCCCCTCACTAGGGTGGGGGTGTCATTATTGACAAAGTGCCCCAAGGAAAGGAGCCATCCATGAGAAAGGTCACTCTCATTCAGACTTAAGAGTCCATGTGAAATGTGATATGGGCTGGGTGTGAAATGATACTGGGGAATTACTGTTGTTTTTCCTCGGTGTGTCAGGAGCAGAGTGGTTTTTGTGACATCCATCCCCGCTTTTTGTCTGAAGAGATGCATATTGAAATAGTCTATTGTTTCTTCGAAACACTTAAACCAATATACCCGATAAAGCTGAGTTAATCTAGACGATAAGAATATGCATGTTATTTTTCTCCCCTTTGGTGAACAGTTTTTTGTTTTTATAAAAAGCTTAAATTAATTTTTTTAGTACATTATTAATATTTCATTACTGTAACGGGACAAGGCTCCTCCCGTCTGCCCTGGCCAGGGAGAGGCTGGCTGGCTCTCCCTACCTTCAGCCTCCTCAGCCTCCTCGACGACTTCGGGGGCCTCCATTTTCAAAGGCTCCAACTTGCCCGCCATTTTCCAACGTGGGGTTTGCGCTTGCGTGCACCTTGGATGACAATTGGTCAAAAAAAACAAAAAAACAACGCGAGGGACACAGGCTCTGCAGCGCGCATGCGTGTACTGCGCGTCTGCTCGTCAGTCCACACGGCTGGAGGAGCAGTGGGAGTTCTGCTATAGCCAAGCACGGACGCGGGCCCCTGAACGACAGTTAGCGCGCATGCGTAACCTCGCGTCCCCCAACTCCAGTGTAGAGGAACGGGCACAACTGGGTCTTGGTCGGTTGAGGAGGGAGTGCTGTGCACACACATAGGAACTCTAGGGAAGCCTTGCCCTCCCTGGGTTGCCGTGTGGTGCAGGTTGTGGAAGTCCGAGACAAATATACATGAGCTGTTCGGTGGTACCCAGGAGTTCGAGTCCCCTTTCATTCACAAATCCTCGCGTAACAGCCTATGCGAGGTTTTCTGCGCTTGACGAATGAGTTCAACGAGCTTTAGAAGCCGAGTGCACCTCCCATGCAGGATGTCTGGATCTCAGCCACCTGTGAAGTCAGGTGTTCTGCCCTGGAGGCCACCTTCTCACCGATATCAGCAGCAGCCAACGTTGATGGGGGCCACTTTTGCCCAGGTAAAGATGAAGTACATGAAGGGCAAAGGAATGTCTTTGTGGGAATTGATTTTAGGTCTTTTATGTACTGTTTCTTTCTTAAAGCCTTTCATGAAGGCTAGCCATGCATTCCCAATTCCAGAGCCCCCGTGGACCACCCAAAGGGACCTTGGCCAACCCTAGACACTTAGGGCTGAGAGCCCATCAAGGAGGCAGACTCCTGATGCAGGACAGAGGGTGTGGTGCCCAGGACTGGAGGAGACAGCCCCTGACAGAGGAATATCATCCAAGTGATAGAGGTGAGGCAGAGGGGCAGAAGGATTTCCCCAGAGGTGGAGAAGCATGACGGGGCTGGGGAAGCAGCCTTTCCTCTGTCCCTCCTGCCCCTTTTCCAGGGTAGAGACAGAAGGTAAAAACCAAAGGTGGTGTTTCTCAGCACTGCCCAATCTGAGAACTCCGCCTCTCAAGGTCCAGGGAACAAGCCGTTATGGGAAGGTTGGTCTGTAGAGGCAGCTGGGGCTGCTGGGGGTGTGGAGTACTTGGGTGGGTAACGAATGAAGAGTCGATCCTCCTCTTTCTTCACCCAGCGCAGGAGTTTGGTCACTACCAAGATGGCACCTGCCTTTGTCACCAGGGGGCTGAGACAGGTATAGAGTTCAAATTTGGAAGTCACCTGCAGGTTTGAGAGGAGACACAGTCAGGCCAGAGCTGACCATGCCCAGTCCTGTCCACCCCACCCGAGCCCCATGCCTCTCTCTTATTTGGAAAACCCATCTGGCAAGAGTTCCCACCGGTGCTACCTGGTCACTGGGCTAAAATTGGTAAACTAATATTGTGTCACGGTGGGCCAGGGGTTTTCAGTAGGGCCAAGGAATCAGCTGATCTAGTGGCTTCAACTGGGTAACGCTGGCTGTGTGTGTGTGTGTGTGTGTGTGTGTGTGTGTGTGTGTGTGTACTCCCTAGATCTCAGTTTGCTCATCTGTGGACTGGGGAAAACAACAATGCTTAACATTTACTGAGCAGCTGTCATATACAAGGTTCTGTTCTCAGCTCCACATACCTGTTTTCATCCTTTGTAGCCTGGGCAACTTAATCCTTATACCAACCAGAGGCCTAAACTGACCAGGTCACTATACCTTTCTGTATCACCTGTCTCACTGCTCTCCCCCTCGCTCACTCTGTTCCGGGCCACTCTAACCTCTCCCTGCTACTCCTCCAACATATAGGTTCTGTCTCACCTCACAGCATTTGCACAGTCCTTTCCCTCTCCCTCCAGAAACCCACATAGCCCACCACCTCCCCCTTAGATGCCATCTCTCCAGTGAGTCATCCCCTGACAACCCAATTTAAAATCCTGGGCCTACCATATCTTGGTTTTGAAATGCCATTTTCCACCAAAAGGAACAAGGGCTCCTTGGACAAATGGCTGATTCCAGCACTGGCACAGAGAAAGTACATGATGAGCCTGGAACGTCGTGTGCCAGAAAACAGGAATGCTCAGACAGCGATAGAGACATATAAAAAAAAGACAGAGGGCCCAGCCCAGCTAAATCGAGATAGTTTGAGCACCAAAATAAATGACAGAAAAGGCTTGTAGCCCACTGACTTAAAGAAAAATCCATGAGACAATATTGCTATAAAATTAAAAATTCAACAAATAAACGGGGAGGAAAAGTTCTTCCATATAGTAGCAGAATCCCAACCAATAAATGTAGAAGGGATGACGGAGTTCAAAAATCACCACGTGGCAAACGCTAGAGTAGTAACTGTTGCAGACAAGAATCATTAATGGCTATTAAAATCAGGGTATGAAAGTGTGATGGAGAACAGAAACCTGACATAATCCCCACAAGATATTTACTAATTATAAAGGGAGAAAACACTAACTTTGTAGTGGAGAAATCTGGGAGACAGCACCTTAACCAAGTGATCTAAGTTACATCAACAGTGGGACAAATGACACTGTGGATCTCCTGATCAGGTGCAGAGAAGGGCATATCACTCACTCTTGGGATATTCTTGCCCAAAATGCATGACCTTAATTCAGTCATGATAAAATATTAGAAAACCCCAAGTTGAAGGACATCCTACAAACTAGCTGGTACTAGTGTTAAGGACATGCAAAAAAAACTGAGAAAGGATTCTAGAATCAATGAGACTAAGGAGATAACAATAAATAAACCAACATAAGATCCTGGACTGGATTCGGGACCAGTAGAAGGACATTAGTGGGCCAACTGGTGAGATCAGAATGAAGTCTGTGGATTAGATGTTGTTGTATTGATATTAATTTCCTGATTTTAATAAGCTCCTGTGGTTAACATCTGGAGAAACTAGGTGAAGAACCTATTTATAGTAATTATTTGTACTATTTTGCAGCTTCTTTGTAAGTCTAAAATTGCTTGGAAATGGAAGTTAAAAAAATTTAAAAATAGTAAAATCCTCAGGTGAGAACAATGCCTCACACCCAATAAGCATACAATAAATGATTTAATACATGTCTGCCAAATGGCAGAGCCTGAGGGAAGGTGCCATTTCCAATGGGGTCACCTTGGTCAAACTCCCTGAATGGCTGACCCTTAATCGACCCATGGGAATGAGGAGAGGAGCCCTGAAGACCCCAGGGAAGGACACCCCAGGTAGAAAGCACAGCCTGGGACCAAGCCTGTAGTGTTCAAGAGTACTGGGGACTCCCAGAGCGAAAATTGAACTGGTAGACACATGGGCAGGGCTACTGAGAAAACAAAGGGCATGCTGATGGTTGTTAATGGGACCTCTTCCAAGTCAGAGACACTGTACTGGTAGCTAATGCAGGAACAAGGAAAAGAACAGTGGTACGGGAGGGTTGTAGACCATGCAATCCTTAGGGTTTCAAAGACACCTGTGTAACGGTAGGAACAGGGATGCAGGCAGAGGCATGGTCAGAGGCGACAGAGTGGAGGAAAAGGGGGCTTCAAGTCAGGAATGAACTCTTCCAGACCCCTAGCCGACTCACCCAGGCCAGCAGCGTCTCCCGCTCAGCCACGTGGTAAATGAGGCGCAGGGGCCTGGAGGGGCTGTGGAGGCGCGCATGCAGTCGGTGGTAGAGGTCGGACAGGCGCTGCCGCTCCTGCTCTCTGCTGTACGGGGCCTCCAGCTCAGGGCTGCCGGGACGGAGGGAGGAGAGGCCAAGGGCAATCAGAGGCTTGCTTGGCTGGCCTGTCTCCCCTCAGTCTAGGGAGTTCAATTAAATGAGGGAGCCCAGCCGCCCCCATTAGACTTGAGGTTTCTCAGTGGCTGGAGGCCCAGCTGGCCCAGCGACCGGGGCGTTCCCTGAGTACTGGGGCCCTCTTTTTCATCAGAATGAGGGACTCCTTGAGGCTGGTGGTTGAGCCTCCCTCAGTGGACAGACACCCATTTGATTCCATCCTCCTGGGGAATGCCTGGCTCTCTCCCACCTCATGGCTATGAGACGCTGAACCTTTTAGTTAGATAAGGCCTCCTGCCCAGCCAACTGCCCACAGGGTCCGGGCCTACCTGGTAAACTGAGGCAGCTGCCGGTGATGGTCGGGGATATCGAGCGGCTTATAGAGGAAGTGTCGGAGGCCGGGCGCCCCCACAGCCTGCACACTGTAGGCGGGAGCACTGGTTGCTGGGGTGCTCGAGAAGCTGGCAGCCTCCCCCAGGGCCCGCATGGCACCAAGGCCGTGCATGCCCTCCTCTAGCAAGCGCCTGCAGGTGGCCATGTCATGGAAGGCCTCGGGGTCGGTGCCAAGCAGCAGCAGGCAGACCGGCATGGCATCCAGGCGCGCCACGTAAGCGTAGAAGAAACCATCGGGGTTGAAGCGGGGCAGGCACACGGGTGCCCACGCCTCCCCCGCCGCAAAGGCCGGCGCCCCCACCCAGTCGAGCAGCAACTGCAGGTCGGCTGGGTCCAGCCGGCACTCGGCTAACACAGTCCGCTCCTGAGCCGCCGTCACCAGCCGGCCTCCGATCGCCAGCAGCGAGAGGGCCAGGCCAGGCGCCGTGCACCGCCGTAGCAGCGCACCCAGTGCTTCCCGCAGCGGGCGAGCCAGAGGCACGCAGCGCACGGCGCCCAGCAGCAGGGCCCCGGGGTCCCGCTCCACGCTGTCCAGGAGCCGGTCTAGGGTGCGCTCCGAACCCGCCAGCAGGCGGCGGAGGTCGTAGTTCTGCTTGCGCGCGAAGATGCGGGCCACACTTGCACGCGTGAGCGTGCTCACGATCTGCGCGTGCACGGCTAGCAGCTCCCCCCGTAGCTGGGCTGCTGACTGAGGAGTCCTTGACACGGCCACCAGCAGCAGTGGGCCCTGCTGTAGGAACACCAGCTTGTGGTCCTCTGGGGGAGGGAAGGGGGGGCAGGGGGTAGAGATGGGTCAGCTGCCACTGGAGGGCTCAGGCGGGGCTCTTCTGCTCTGTCCCTGAACACACGCATTCCTGGCCCGAGCTCACATGGTCACTCTGTGGCACACTTGCACGAGGATAAGGACAACTGGGGGGAGTTTGGGTTATTTGTAGAGACATGATGGGATGGTCAAGGAATCAGGTTAGACACAGCATGGATCAGAGGAAGACAGAGCAAGGACTGACACGGAAACCCAGAGACACCCAACTCAGCCAGAGAGCCCCCAAAGTCACGGAAGTATCCAGCCAGTGACTCAGGTCCAGGTGAGTTAATCACTCAGAACCCAGCAGGCCAAACAGATGGACAACAAACAGATGCCTGGCCAGCCATCCATATACACAGAGGGCTGCGTGGATAGTCTCCCAGCCGGCCAGCTGGCCAGCCAGCCATTTTCCTGGCCACCATCCCCTGCTCCCTCCACTCCCTCACCCCCACCTTTGCTCACCAGCATAGATGGCGCGGATGGCATCCCCTGCACTCTGTACGAAGGACACGAGGGCTGTCATCACGCCCATGGTCGTCGACAGTGCCTCCACGCTGCCATACCTGGAGTAGATGGGCTTGCCTGCCTCGCTCAGCACAAACACGTGCTTTCGCTTGCTGCGCCAGTCCTCATCACTGGGGTCCCCACCCTGGCCCCCAGAGCCACTCTCGGGGCCACCCATGGGACTATCCTCGGAGGTCACAGGATCCCAAAGCCCACAGGTGCATGACAGGGCCCCTGACTGGGGCAGTGGTGACAGCAGGCCGGGTGGCTGATCCTTCGTGTCGGATTCTGAAAGGGAACTCCTGGTGGGTCATTCTGACTGTGGACTCCCCTTAACCCCATGTGCCCAGGGACTTACCAGATTCTCTACCAGCCCCCCAATGACCCGTGATACTGACACAGACCTCCAGGTGTCCCTTCCACCCCTCAATGACCTCCACATGATCCCCCTAAAACCCCAACAATCCAATCTCTCACTGTCATTACGGAACCCTCTATGTCCCTAGAGCTTATTTACTCTCCTGTCAATAACTGCCACTTCCAAGTCTTCAAAGCACCCTATTGCTTCTGAATGACCATTATTATCCTCATCTTCAATGATCCACCATTAACACCTCTGACCCCTCATGTATTCTCCTAGTATCTACTCACCCCTCATTGGCCATCGTGACATACACTAATATCTCTAGTCTCTCATTTAAATCCTTCCCCCTGCCCCACCCCTCCCTAATCCCTTACTTATTCTCATGGATGTTCACTGATCCCTAATGACCTCATTGACTCTCCTCATCACCACATATATTTTTGGTGATAACCGAAATATATATATTTTTGGTGATAACCACTAATTCTTCCAATGACTGCCATGACTATCCACTAGCACCCAGATCTTTAAGCCTCCCGTAACCCCCTGTTTATGCCCACTGCTTTTCACTAGCATTCTAGTTATTCCATTAATATCACTAATACCTGGGTCTCCAGGTACCTCCAGTGACTGCCCTGACACACAATCTATTTTACCTCATGTGCACTCCATCCCACCATGACCACCATGAACCCCTACTAACATCCAAGACTTCAAATAACCTCCCCTGACCCTCTTTTATTTCATTCTCCCTTCTCCCCAATGACTACTATTAATTTCCACTAATATCCAGGATTTCAGTGACCTCCTCCGACTTCCTTGACCTCCTTTTATTCTCATTGATAATCCACTCCACTCCTTACAATACCCACCAAGGGGCACCTAGATGGCTCAGTTGTTAAGCATCTGCCTTTGGCGCAGGTCATGATCCCAGGGTCCTGGGATCAAGCCCCACATCGGGCTCCCTGCTCAGTGGGAAGCCTGCTTCTCCCTCTCCCACTCCCCACGCTTGTGTTCCCTCCCTGTCTTTCTGTCAAATAAAATCTTTAAAAAAAAAAATACCCACCATAATTACACTAACACATAGGACTATGATAATGTTGTCTACCGCTCTTCCTCATGACCATAATTAACAATCAGCAATTAAACCCACAACTTCACTGCCCCCTACTGATTCCTTTGACACCTCTCCCATTTATTCCAGTCAATGTCCACTGATCCCCCAATGACAACCATTATTTCAGCAACTTTCCCATAAAATCCCAATGACCTCATATTCCCTCATTCTCTGATTGACATTCGCCAATCCCCCATGTTGTCCTCCCAATTACCCTCCCAATACCTGCCATTACTTGCCAATAATTCCCAAATTCTCAAAGACACCCCCCCCACACCCACCATTTATTCTCAGTGATGTCCACTCATCCTTCCCGATGATGCCACTAACATCGACTCATTCCCAGGTGGTCAATGAGCATTGTTTCCCCAATGACTCCCATTGAGTCTCCATCAAATAACTTTACACATCCACTAAGTCTTCAAAGACCCTCCTACTGGTCCTCTGACTCTCCACATAATCTCACTGATGTCCACTGCCTCCTCACCAATGATGACCCTTAACATCTAATTTTTGGTTCCTTAAAGACTGCCACCAACAACTCACCACTGACTCCTCAATGATGTAAACACTGAATGCGCATTGGTTGCCACTGATCCCCGTTCCCACCTCAATGACTTAAATAACACCCTACCCCCAAAGACACTGACTTCTAAATAGTTTCCTTTTGACTGTATTAAATTTCTTTTGGTCATTCATTGACCTAAACATCCTAAATCCCCAATACCCTTCGTTGACCCCAACTGATCTGATTCCTCAAAGACCTGAACTCAGATCAAGTCCCCAGTGAACATCCATTTGACACCCACTGATTCCCTTTTCATTCCTCAATGATTTGAACTACACTGTGTGTCCAGAATGGCCTCCTACTGATCCTGCTGTGGTTTAAACCACTTTCCTGAGTCCCAAAAGATTCCTCACTTGTCCCCCTCTGACCTCCCCCAACAATGACACCCTCTAGGTATTTTTTCCAAGACCCTAGTGAGGGGAAGACATACCTGTTTTCTCCAGGTCCCCGTCTCCAGGATCCGGCGGGTCCTCGTGAACCCCTCCATCCTCTCCAGCCTCCTCACTGGGGAACCGAGTGTCCCCCAAGTCCTCAGCGTCCCCAGGGGCTGGGGCTGTAGTGTCTCCTCCAGCCTCCATCTGCACATCCCTGTGGGGTAAAGGAATTGAGGATGACAGGCAGCAAAAGAAACTTCTTAAAAGCCTCTACTGAGCCTGGCCCCCTTGGACACATTCCTACTGCTCGTTTCCCCTCGGGTTTCAACAGGATGAGACAAGCAAAAACATGACCAACTACTTGCACCCTCCAACATTTCCCGAAAAGGGAGGTTCTAATGAGCTTCAGCGGATAAAGAGACATAAACACCTGTATTAACCCCGTATCCCAACTGGCCGGGTACCATCACTTCCCGAGCTGCGGTAGCATCACACTTCCGGGTGCGGCTGCCGTCGTGCCACACTTCCGGGTACGACGCCGCTCTGAAGACACTTCCGGCTGCGGAGCTTTATTCGCTCTCCGCCGCGCCGGAGCCCTGTCTCCCGCCGCCCACTGGTGTCCCCTCACCGTTGAGATGACGCGAGCCACTCCCGGATTTACGTCGGTCTGGCTGGGGACCCGGTGAGCCGCCTATGCACTCCTCTCACCGCCCTAGCTCGCAAGGCTAACACAGGCGAGCCGGGAAGCTTCCCTTAGAGCCAGCTGTCGGCGTGACGGGGGCGCGGCTCGCGTTCAGCCAGTCCGGAGTCGGAGGGCCTCCCTTATGGCCCAATCAAGAGAAGCCGGCTCTCCTCCAGCGGTTCCGCACCCGCTCTGGCCGCGCCGTAGCTCCACCAATACGGTGCGCTGCATTGCGATTGCACCCGCCCATCTTGACTGACATATCCCCGGACCCAATCGAAGGCTCGAGGACTTTCACAGCCTCGGTCGTGACGGATACCAATGTCCGACCAATAGGCGTGCTCCCCAGAATTGAGGCAACTTCACTTTCCCTAATCCACCTGAAAAGGCGAAGGGTGGAGTGGAGTAGTCTGTGCCGAGAGGAAATGCTTGATGGACAGTCCCCGCTTCCAATCGGAGCGCTGTGCGCAGCCTGGTCAACCTATGGGGCGCGGTTGCTAAAGAAGCGAGAGGCGGGCTTCTCAGAAGTAGGAAGTATTCGTGTGTCTCTCTGTAAGACAAATGGCTCGACAGCCTCTGGAAAAAGGAAAGCTTGCTCATGGAGAGGCGGGGAGTGAGCTTACGAAGGCGATGTGCAGGCTGCCCAGGGTTTGCCCAGATCCGCGGAAGCCCAGGTAGACCTCATTTCCGAAACAGAGCTCTGTGGGCGCAGCTGTGCGGTTTAGGAGTCCTGGCTTAAAGGAGGGACACGCAGGCGCGGCTTTGAAAGGCCTAGGAACTCTGGTTGGTTGAGGAAAATGCCCCTCCGGCCTCTGTGCGCTACCATTGGCTGGGCGAGGGGAGGCTCGACGTCTCCGCCGCCGGGGACCCGCCCCCTAGAGGGTGCCCTCCCTAGTTTAGTTAGTGCCTGAGCTGAATTTGTTTTTATCCCGGGCCAGAGCACCGCAGGGTAAAGCCTTCGGGGACCGGCAGAGTGGAGTCCCCAGCTCCATTGCCCGCAGGATTTCCATTTACGTTGGGGAATCTTAGGAGAAATAGACTCCACCTCTGAGCACTCTCTCCTCAGGAAATTGAAGGGTAAACTCTTGCATCCCTTCCCGATAAGGGTTCCCTAATTGTGACGTGCTTCCCCTCAGCGGGATGTGCCCAATTCCAAGTTTCTTGTCATGTCAGCTAGAATATGCTTTTTCATGAATCTACATCACCAGGTAAACAAACCAACTCTTCCCACATCCATATTCCCACCGAAATACAAGGTATTAAAAAACAACTCTGCCAAGAGGGGAGTAAATTTCTGGAGTCCAGTGAATCCTGAAGACATAGTAAGACCCTGCACTCATACAAATACTTTTCAATCCTTATTACAGAGGATCAAGGAAACTGAAGGGTGTTTGAGTTTGTTTATATGACTGCTAAGGAGAATAATTGTTCTTATATCCCAAAGTGGGCATCTCCACTGGGAAATTCTGCATTTGGGGTGAGTTGATCAAACTCAAGATACTTGCCCTCTTCATCCTCTGCACAAACACTTCCATACTAGGCTGCACCCACAAGCCCAGGAAAGCGTCCCTTTCTAAGGACTTTTTTTTTTCATGTGGTCACTAGAACATAGTTCCCAGGGCTGCACAACCATGCCTACTTCTATACTTGCCCCAGGAGGGATAGAGTCTCTGGAACTGACAATTCATAAACCACAGCAGGAACTTGCCTGTGCCTATTTGGATATATTGTGATGACCCTCCTGCCATGGGTTATTTTCTTTCTAGATTTCTTGATTGCTAGGAAATTGAACTTGAATATACACGGTGAAAATTGGAGTGGGAAGAAGAACACAGCTGTGAGTAGAAACAAGGCAACCTGCAGTGTATTTGTGCCGTGACTGGCTCCCTCAGTTGTACCCACAGTGCAGGAACATTTGTGGCCTTTATTTCCCTATTACCTGTCCCTCTTCTGTTCCTTGATTCTTTTCTCTTTTCTCTGCCCCCTTACCTTGTTCCATGCTCTCTTCTCTGATTTGTACCACTGCTCCCTGCTCCTACTTTTTGTTCCCTGCCCCATCATGCTGTTCTCTGTTCTGTTTCCTTAGTCCTTGCTCCCTCACCCAGTTCTTTGCCTCTTCTTTTTCTACCTTGTCACTCTTCTTTGCCTCTTCTTTCTCTACCTTGATCCTCTGATCTCATTGTCTCCCCCAGATTGGGATGGGAATAGGACGAGGGTGAAGAGGAATGATGATCTCGGCTATATTCACCACATTCATCCATAAGGAAAGGGTTGGTTGCTTTCCTAGATACGTAGTTTTGAATGGAACACCCCCTGCCCTGCATTCATCAAGTGAAAAGTTGAACAAGATTGGCCTACCCTATGTAACTAATCAATGTAAATGGAACCAAAAATTCATAGCCTTCTCTGTTTCACCTGACAGAGGTCTAGCCCCATTTCCAAGCTTACCATCTTCCACAAGCCAAACAATTTCTTCAAATTTCTAAAATACTCAAATCTTAACCAAACCCTTAAACACACCTTGGGTCATCAACCTCCATAAAACATTCGATGTCTCCCAGTTCCAAAATGTCTCCAAACACTATGCCTTCCCAATCTGATAACCTCTCCTCTGAAACCCCATCTTCACCACATTGGTGTCACCAAAACTCTCACTCTTCAAACCCAGGAAAATGTCCAAAGCACCTAATCATCCCACACACCCCACCATCTATGAATCTACCCACATCCCTAAAGCTGCCAATTTCCATAAATCAGCAACCTTCCAAAAACACTACCCTTCAAAACCAAAAACACCAAAACCTCAACTTCCCTAAATTCACCAATATTTCATGCCTGTCAACCTCCTCAAGCCCAACAATGTCATCCATGCCCATCAAGTGCCCCAAACCCACCAATATCCTTATGCCACCCAGCCTCTCCAAACCTGCAAATTTCCTAAACACACCATACTGCCCGAATATACCCACTTGTTCAAACACATCAAACTCTCCAAACCTCTATCTTCCCTCAAGGCATCAGTATTTCCAAACTTTCCAAGCTCCTCAAGTCCTAAATTTTCCATGAGGCTCAAATCCCCATGTCCACTCCCCAAATCCACCAGTCGCATAACTTCAAGTGTATCAAGCCCTAAACCAATCCACCAAATTTCTCAAGCCCTAAATTCTTAATTTCTTCAAAAGTCTCCAAATACCCACCCTCGTCCCCCTAATCCCACATCGTCCACAAAGCCAAAATCTCCAAGTCTATCAAAATCTCCAAAGCCACAATCACTCTCAATCTCCTGCCTTCCTCAAATCAACACATCCAAACTTCCCCAAAATATGAACTGTCCAGTTGCTCACAGCCACTGATCTCTCTAAACAAGCAACCCTCCCTAGCACACAAAACTTCCCATATACTAGTCCCCACAATTCTACCAGACTACAGATGTCAACAGCCTTTCCAAACCATGCCACCTTCCCAACACCATTGGGTACTGTCAGTTTTGAGGTGCTCTCCATGGACTATCTCTTGCTCTGGATGCTGGTGGGAGGGGTTGTAAAGTTAACAAAATTCCTCAATTTACTCTATTCCTTTTTGATACCTTTGGTCTCTCCTTCATCAAAGAACCACATCTCTGTGTCTGTTCCTTCTTGCCTGGAGGCATGAGGTCTTTCCCCACTGGGGGCAACAAGACCGTGGGACTAAAAGAATGTGAGATACAGGCAGCTCTGAGATAAGACCACAGCAGGCATGGCATGAACATTGCTTAACGTTCTTTCTTTCTTTTTTGATTAAAGTATAGTTGGCATACAGTGTTATAGTCATTTTGGTTTCAAATGTAAAAATCCCTGTGGATCCAGGAAGAGGACTCTGGACTTGTGGTGGGCCCAGGTTAAGCACCGTCTCCAAAGAGAATACACAGGCCTGGAGAGTTTGGTCTGACAAGTGACTGCAGCCTGAGGGACAGGGCCAGGCCAAGTATCGCTATCAGGATTGTGGGGTTTTTTTCCATCTGTTTGACCTGGGTTGTAGGGTGGGGAGGTTGATCTCCTGTGTCATGATAAAGAATACAGAGGCTGCTAAGGCAGGGCAGACGGCTCAGAAGAAAGCAGAGGAGGTTCCCCTTGCATAGACAATTTCAAGACTAAATCTAGACTGCTTTCCCATAAGAGGGCATGGCCTGACCCAGGGTGAGGCTACTGTGTGGCCATCCTGGGGTTGGGGTGGGGTGAATAGACATAATCACTGACCTGTGTGCAACCTCATGACTAGTCCTGGGTATGTACTGTGTGGCGGGGATCTGGGGCAGACCATCCACTGAGTGTCTGCCCAGGCCTGAGGGGGGCGCCTGGTTGGGTCCATAGCTGTCCTCCTCCAGAGAGCACCCCCAGTTCGTTCGTTCTTTCTTTCTTTTTCCCTTCCTTTCCTTTCCTTTCCCTCCTTTCCCTCCTTTCCTTTCTTCCTTTCTTTTGGCTTAAATGGGGTAGAACCTCATTTATAAAGCCTTGTTATTTATCACTGCAATTTTATTCCTTCTTTTAAAAAAGATTTATTTGTTTATTTTAAAGAGAGAGAGAGTGGGGGAGGGGCAGTGGGGAGGGAGAGAGAATCTTCAGCAGACTCCACCCACCACTGTGAAGCCCAGTGCCAGGATCTCAGGACCCTGAGATCATGACCTGAGCCAAAATCAAGAGTCGGATGCTTAACCGACTGAGCCACCCAGGCGCCCCTATCACTGCAATTTTATTCCTAATAAATATGCAAAACTTGCTAATAATGTTTAATATTGAGAATAATGGCTCCCTAAAAATGCCTACATCTTAATCTCA